ATCCAGGAACCACATATCAAATAAGGGCCTAATATCCAAAAAATATATAAAACTTCTACAGCTTAACAACAAAAAGACAAACAATCCAGTAAAAAATTGGGCAAAGGATTTGAACAGATGGCTGTCCAAAGAGGATATACAAATGATTGCTATTGAGTGGATTCATATAGCCACAAGAATCACTTAGAAGGGCTATCTTAGAAAGTGTTGGTTAGGATGTGGAGTAATTGAAACTCTCATATATGTCTGGTGGGAATGTAAAGGGTAAACCCATTTTGGAAACAGTCTGGCAGTTTCTTAAACATTAAATATCCACCTACCATATATATATCATCCAGCCATTCCACTCTTGGGTATTTAGAACCAAAAACCCACTGCCATCGAGTTGATTCCCACTCACAGCAACCCCCAGAAGGTTCCCAAGGATGTAAATCTTTACAGAAGCAGACTGCCTCATACTTCTCCCGTGGAGCACCTGGTGGGTTCGAACTATCAACCTTTTGGTTAGCAGCCAAATGGTTAGTCTTACCACAGTGTCACCAGAGCTTCTCATCCAAGGGAAATGAAAGAACATGTTAATACAAAGACTTACACACTAATGTTCACAGCAGCTTTATTTGTAATAGCCAAAAACTAGAAAGAACCTAGATGCCCATCAACAAGTGATGACAGCTCAATGGTTAAGCTCTCAGCTGTTAACCTAAAGGGTGGTGGTTCACACTTACCCGAAAACTCCATGGGAGAAAGAACTGGCAATCTGTTCTTGTAAAGATTATATCCTAAAAAACTCTATGGGGCAGTTCTACTTTGTCACATGGGGTCACTATGAGCTTAATTAACTCAGTGGCACTTAACAACAAAGTAGCCATACAATGGAGTATCACCCAGCAATCAAAAGGAATGAACGCTTAATACAGGCAGAATACATTATATGTTATTATCTTGTTTTGATAAAATAATATACACCTACATTCTTCTTTTTGGTTGCAAATGACAGAAATCTGACTCATACTAGCTTAAGCAAAAGTTTCATTTATTGATACAGAAATAATAACTTAGGTAGGCCCATGCACCCACAAATAATTTTTGTTAAGAATTTCAGTGAAACTCTCTAGACTGTTCAAAGACTAAATTATTAAGGCATCACTCATAGGTGACCGTGAAAATTTCAAGATCACTCTAAGAAGAGTGCTAAAATCAGGGCTGGTCAGGTTTCAAACAAGGCTTCTGTGTGTCTGTATATCTGGGAGACGAGCCATGCAAGTTACACAAGAGAAAAGAAACTATGGTTTTCAAACATGAATCTACAATTTTAAGGTGAAAAGATGATTCTCTGAAATACAGGCATTAGAGTTGCTCCTCACACAGGTAACTCTATGTAGTTTACTGTATGTTAAGTAGCAGCAAGGGTTTATTTAATGATACTAAGGCTCCTTAAAAGATAAGAATACCTCCCAAATCACGCCAAACTAAATGACTTCTCAAATTGACAAGTAATCATTTATTTAAAAAATTCCTAGGTAAAAAGTTAAAAGACAAGTATATAATGTCAACTTTCTAACTGCCAGGTTTTCAAAATACTTAGATTGTTTTATATAAACCAAACAAATATTTCATTCCTTTAGTCACTAAACAAACATGGGCATCCACGATGCATACTGAACTATAAGAAACTACTGACACTTGACCATTTTTAAACTTACAAAGAATGGCTATTTCATGTAGATCAACCAAAAACCAGGCATTTGTTCTAGGTGGTTGGAAACAGCAATGAATAAAACAAATTCTCAGCTTTTATGTACAGTGTACGTTCTGCCTATGTGTGTCTGTATGTGTTTGTGTTTGGGGGGCAGATAATAAACAAGTAAATGTATGGTGTATCAGATGGTGTTGCATGCTTCAGAGAAGAACACAAAAGGTTAAAGGAGATAGCCAGTCCAGTGGAATGGTTGTTGCTATTTTACATGAGTAGTCAGGGAAGACCTCACTGATAAGATATTTCAGCAAAATTCTAAAGGAAAAAAGGTACAAGCTTCTTAGAATCCTCTATAAATGGCAAAATCTGGTCACCAGCATGACAATTTCTGCTGAGTTTATGCCAAAAACCACAAGAACAAACAATTGTGTTAAAGCTAGTGGAGTATTATAACAATTACAGCTCTAATCAAACTTGTAATCAGTCAATCCATACCTAATAAAATCATCACTATTGCTTACAGTTCTCATTTTTACAGAGAGCACAAGTTTCATGTTAGCCCCATATTCTCTGGTTCATGCTTTCAATCTAATAAATAACCACATAGAAGAACATACACAATAATAAGCAATTTATTCTTACATCTTTTGAAGAACCTGGGCCATCACAACCCCACTCGTTAAATCTTCCACGGTCTGGCATGGCGCATCTACATTAAATGTCTGGATCTGGGGGAGGAAAAAGAAAGCAAAAAACATTCTATGGTTAACTACTTAGATTTCTTAGGCTTCTTTTTGTGATTATCTCACCTTAGGGGTAGGAATAACTGTATAAAGTAGAACAGTTACAGAGTTCACTTATGAGAAATTTCCTGCAGGTTATTCTAAGTTTCCTTTTTTGGTACAAGGGAAATTGTGACGGACCCTGGATGACTTCCCAACATCCATTTTTTCCAAATATAATCAATCAGTCTAAGAAAATCATGATTAAATTTATCCATTCTACCACTGGCAAATTCAGGGATAGACATGCCTAAGACAACATGAACCAAAATGATGTTTTTTGAACTTCTGGAAAGAAAAGTCAACCACATTTTCATGAGCATTTTGCCCTAGTTGTTGAAAGAAGTAATTTTATAACTCACTCACACCAAACCAAACTCACTGCCGTTGAGTCCGACCTGACTCATAGCGACCTCTCCTTGGTTTTCCGAGGCAGTATCACAACAGAAGTAGACTGCCCAACCTTCCTTCCAAGGAGTAGCTGGTGGGTTGGAACCGCCAGCCTTCTGGTTAGCAAATACCTTAGGCTCTGGACCACCAGAGCTCCTAATTTTATAACTAGTAGGGGAGTAACTCTTGGGATAAGTCGAGTGCAGTAGATGGCACAGAGGAAAAGACTGAAAGGTCTTTCAGGCCAAAATTGAACACCGAATTAAAAAAATCTCCAACTATGTGAGATAAATTTCTTTTAAACCAGTCTGCGTTGAGCTTTCTATTACTCAGAGCCAAAGTATCCTGATAGAGACACAGAAGTCATACTTAGTACAGTTAGGTTAATATTCAATTCAGTTCTATTTCAAATGTACTCTGAATTACAACTAACTCTGTACTGGTTGGCATGATGTGGCCAGAGAAATGTTACATTTTTCCAAACAGAAATTATCTCTAGGAGTAAGAAAAAGTCAATGAGCCAATGATGATTAGACCTAGTAGTGCAACCAGGACTTAGGAAATAAATTGCTGAGAACAGACAGATGCAGGCCACACTCATAGTATATAGTTTAGTGGAATGAAAGTGTTATTATAGGAAATGTAAACAGCAAGCATAAAGATTAGAAGTGAGAGTGGCACACAATCTAGGGATGAAAGGAAGCTTAATATAGATTCAGTGATGAGGCACTGATGGTTCAGTGGTAGAATTCTCGCCTTCCATGCAGGAGACCCAGGTTCCACTTCCAGCCAACGCAGTTCATAAGCAAACACCTCCATCAGTGGTGTGTTGCTGTGATGCTGAACAGGTTTCAGCAGAGCTTCAAGACTAACAAGACAAGGAGAAAGATCTAGTACTTCCAAAAATCAGTCACAACTGATCATGGAAATGGTGCGAGTTCGGGCAATGTAATATTCCATGGTGCATAGGGTTGTCAAGAGTCAGGGACTGACTTCACTGCAGGTAACATTATCATGCAAAACCTTACAAGCCACGTTAGAGAGTAATGGGGAATCAGCAAAGGATTTTAAGTTTTAAATCAGGGCTTCTGGTTTGTTCCAGTTTGAGCCCCTGATGGGAATTTGCATTTCTACCTCAGATACACTGAGTCAGAATCTATATTTTAACAAGATTCTTATGATCTTAAAAAAGAACTACTAAGTATAGTAATCAGAGCGTTCTGATAGTGCCTAAGCCATTTGACTGCTAACCAGAAGGCTGGCAGTTCAAACTTAGCAGCCACTACTCAGAAGGAAGGTTGGGCAATCTACTTCCGCAGTGATACCGCCTCAGAAACCCAAGGAGGGGGTCACTATGAGTCGGATCCGACTCCACGGCAGTGAGTTGGGGGTTTTTTTTTGGAAGTATAGTCATCAGTAGCTTCTCCATATTTTCTATACAAGAGTGTCTTATGGAGTAGTGATTTGGTTATGATGGTTGAGGTTAAGAAAATTACCCTAAAGATCTACATTTAAAAGAAAAAAATCTTGCTGCCATCGAGTAGATTCCGACTCACAGCGACCTCTGCTTGGGTTTCCAAGGCAGTATCTCTATGGAAGTAAACTGCCCAGTCTTCCTTCCAAGGGGTGTCTGGTGGGTTTAAACTGCCAGCCTTCTGGTTAGCAGTCAAAATGCCTTAGGCACTATACCACCAGAGCTCCTAAAGATCTACATAACAAATAGTTTTTACTTGTATGTCCATTTGGGGTGAGTGATGAAAAGAGGGTCCTTCCAAGTCACCACTGGCACTATCCTAATACAACAGCAGAGGTTTAATAAGTGATTTGAAAATGAATAAATGCAATAAACATCTGCAAACACTGATTTTGGGTTTTACTCCATTCTATCTCCAGCTGCTTCCTTGCTGATAATGTGGTGGTAATAATGTAGTTTAAAAGGACATAAGCACCAGCTTTCACATTACAGTTGCTAATAGCCCATTTAAAAATATAAAAAAAAAAAAGAAAGCAATCTCTTTCTTGTAGGTTTGTATAGGAAAGAGGCAGCAGTGAGGGTCGCATTGTCTTATCTATCACTTAACCAAGCACGATGCTCAATACAGGACAGGCCCTTACTGTATGCTGCCTTGAATGGAATGAACTTATTCTATCCCCAGCTTTGCTTTTAATTTCCTGTATAACCTTGGACATGTCACTTGATTTCTCTTAATAACAGTTTTTCCATCTAGAAATCTTGGGGGGGAGAAATCTCTTATGTGGGTATGCTGCTTAAAGAATGAATGAGAAAACAAATACAGCTGAAGTATTTTTTAAAGCAGTTTCCCCAAATCTAATTGTACAACAGAATCATCCGGGGAATTTTTATTTTGAAATTATACATTTCTGAATCAGAATCTGTGTGTGGTGAGCTGGAAATCTATTTTTAACCCTCTGATCTAAAAGCATTACCAAATGTAAAAGCTGAAAGATTAGAAAGCTGCCTCTGGCCAATCAGAATAAAACAATTAAAAAAAGCAAGGTATTCACAAAGCAGATAATTTAGTTGTAACATATTATCCGTTTTTCTCTTAGAACATAAATCCAGCTATTTTCATTCTGATTTTTAAGATGGGGCTTCTAAAACAGTTCTTATTTTTCCTGCAGTGGCCCTTGAGGAAAATAGTTGCCCAAGGAGGGCTAGATGATGTTCATATCTCAGCTTTGACATGAAAGCAAAGCAGGAAAAAAAAAAAAAAAGTAAAACAGATCCCAAAGAAAATCTATCTCTATGGAGTTTCTTTTTGGGGTGATGAAAACATTCTAGAATTAAGACAGTGATGTTGGTTGCATAACCTTGTGAATATACTAAAAAAACCCACTGGATTATACACTTTAAAAGGATGGATTTTATGGTATATGAATTATATCTCATTGAAAATAATCTATCACCTACCCATTCTCACACATTGTTGAGCTAAAATCTAAAGGATACTTCAGTAGAGCAGTAGAGTAAAAGTTAAAAATAACTGTCTTAAGGCATGAAATTCTACTTAATGGGAAGTAACTTTTTAATTCCAAGAAGCTCTGTTACCACCCAACCCCCACCTCATCACTTTCCTCCACCCGCCCCACCCCCAAGAAGAAAGGAGTAAAGAAAGATATGAGATGAACTGCAATTAGTATTTCTAGAGCAGTGGTAAGCAGAGGAAAGATTGAAGTTGTCAGAGATTTCATTTTTCTTGGATGGATAGTCAACATCCATGGAAACAGGAGTCAGAAAATTAGACATCATATTACAATGAGAAAATCCACTGCAAAAGACCTCCTTAAAGTGTTAAGAAGGAAAGATGTCATCTTGAAGACTAAGGTGTGTCTGACCCAAGCTACCGTATTTTCAGTTGCCTCATATACATGTGAAAGCTGGACAGTGAGTAAGAAGGACCTAAAAAGAGCTGATGCCTCTGAATTGTGGTATGGGCTAAGAAAACTGAAAATACCATGTACTGCCAAGAGAATGAAAAAATCCGTCCTGGAAGAAGTGCAGCTGGAATGATCCTTGGAGGAAGTGACAATGGCCAGACTTTGTCTCACCTACTTTGGTCCTGTTGTCAGAAGGGACTATTCCTTGAAGAAGGATATCATGCTTGGTAAAGTAGAGGGTCAGCAAAGAAGCGGAAGACCCTCAACAAGATGGACTGACACAGTGACTGCAATGATGGGCTCAAGAACAGCAAAGATTGTGAGGCTGGCGCAGGACCAGGCAGTGTTTCGTTCTGTCGTGCACAGGGTCGCTATGACTCAGAGCTGACTTGACGGCACCTAACAACAAAAGAGCAGTGATTCTCAACAGCGGAGACTTTGCTGCCCAGGAGACATTTGCCAACGTCTGGAGATATTTTTTTGTTTCTGTAATTTGGTAAGTATTATTGGCATCTAATATGTAGAGGCCAGGGATGCTACTGAACAGCCTACCATGTACATGGATATGCCTATGACAAAGAATTATCCAGTGAATTACTTAACATGGCCCTTCTAGCTATGCTCTTTGTGACTCCCACCAGAATACCAGGTCCAAAACCAAACTCACTGCCACTGGGTTGGATCCGACTCATAGCAACCTCTCCTTGGGTTTCTAAGGCAGTATCACTATAGAAGTAGATTGCCCAATCTTCCTTCCGAGAAATGGCTGTTAGGTTTGAACCGCCAGCCCTCTGGTTAGCAGTCAAATGCCTCAGGAACTATGCCACCAGAGCTCAAGTGGGACTATGCAAATATGAGGTGTTTGTGGCCCACCAAGGGGATTAGATAGCTTGTTAATAATGTAAATAAGGCATATGGCTCCCTAGTGTGGGAAGAACCATGCAAATAAGGTATATGTGATCCTAATGTGGGGATTGGTGAGTTTTGCCATCTCACTAGGCTTAACGGAGCCATCTCAGAGGCAGAAAAGGGGATCTCACTACCATCCAGAAAGAGTCAGAAGTAGAGCACATCCTCTGGACCCAAGAGCTCTGTGCTGACCCTCTTTGGCCCAGGAGACAGAGCTGTAACACTCTGCTGAGATGGCGAGAGACACTGAGAAGCAGTGGCAGAGAAGCGGCAGCAGCAGAGGCAGCAGAACTGAGCCTGGCATGAAACAGAACGGCGGGCTTCCCTAGCCAATAAGTGAGAAAGATAACTGCCTTTAGGCAGGAGGGTTGCTAGTGGAGTGGGGTGCCTTTCTGGGCCGCTACTGGCAGAGCTAAAAGAGCTTTGTAACACTTGTCCAAGCAGGGCAGAGGCCAAGAGGCCACAGGGCTAAGAGGCTGAGGCCAGAGAGAAGCGTGGATGTGGCACAGATAAGAAGCTGCTGCCCTGACTGAAGAACTGTATCCTGAGTAGTTTCTGATCCTGAATTATAACCTGTTATTTCCCTAATAAACCTCTTAATTGTGAGTATTGTCTTTGAGTTCTGTTTGGCCAATGCAATGAATTAACAAACCCAGCAGAGAAGTAGAAGGTACCGTGAGAGGGATGGTTGGTGTCAGAACCAGCAAAAAGCTCAAAGGGTGGTAGTTCGTCTGATCTCTGCTTCATAAGAATCAGCTTTGGGCTGGCTGTTGATGCTGATGGTGATTCTGTCTCCCCTTCATAGAGTTGGAGGAGGTCGCACATTGCTACCTCCACGTCTTTTTTGCATAAGCCCCAAATATCAACAGCTGAGATCCAAGAAACCCTTTTCCAGAGCAGTGGTGGTCAAGCATGATCCCCAGGCCACTACCAATATCAACACTAGGGAGCATGTTAGCAATGCACAGTCCCAGAACCTACCCTACACCTGCTGAATTAGAAACTATGGAGGTCAGGCTCAGCAATCTATGATAAATACAATAAAAACACAGAGGTGAAGTTACTTGTCCAAAGTCACCCTCAGTTAGTATGAAACCAACATTCAAACTCAGGTGATCTAGTATCAGAACCTATACTTTTAACTACCATGCTATACTAACCCTCAATTAAACAACAAACAAAAATAATAAAACCAGTAAACAAAGCTTTTAAACAATATGTAATTTAACTTTTGTACATGAGTGATTTTTCTACTCCTCCATTAGAGGACAAAATTGTCGACAGAATGGAGCAGAAAGAATGGAATGGAGAGACCAAACCTACTGCCATCAAGTCAATTCCTACAGATAGCAACCTGATAGGACAGAGTAGGATTGCCCCACAAGATCTCCAAGCCTGTAATCTTTACAGGAGCAGATTGCCACACTTTTCTTCAGGGAAGCAGCTGGGAGGTTAGAACAGCTAACCTTTCAGTTGGCAGCTGAGTGCTTTAACACCTGCACCACCAGGACTAATACAGGGGCACTATCATAAAAATTATACCCTCCCTCATTCTAGCATGAATTTTATAGGCCACTAAATACCAAAAACTAAACCCACTGTCATCGAGGTGATGTCCACTCACAGCCACCCCATATAACAGAGGAGAACTGCCTCCTAGGGCTTCTGAGACTGTAAATCGCTAGGCAAACAGATTGTCTCATCTTTCTCCTGTGGAGAGGTTGGTGGGTGACCTTTTGGTTACCACTGAATGTTTTAACCATTGCACCACTACAGCTCCTTGGCTGCTAAACAAGTAGTATGGAAATCATGAGGCTTTGTTAATGTTGCGGGCTTCCCAGAAGAAATATACTCAATCTATGTGATGATTCTTTTCCTATATAACTTCTTGCCATTAACTAGTAGCATTCCAAATTCTTCTTTGTTTTACAGTCTCTAAAACCAGGCAAAGTACAATCTTTTCATTGAGATCCATGAGATCCAGTTCAAGAAGCAGGCTTGATAGATTTAATAGGCAGGGCAGCTATTTCTAAGAGGTAGGAATATATTTTGACTCAGAGGGTGGGGGAGAGGAGGTAGAGCGGAAATTTTCAAGCACATCCTGCTGAACTTGCTCTTGCTGCATAAACTTTGATTTGGAATTTAAGGTTAAAATGGTTTCTGTTCATAGGATGATACTTATCTTTTCATAAATACTCCTTTGAATTTGGAACACTGGTTCTTGAGCTGGTAGGCTCTTTAACATAATGGCAATTTATCCAGAATTTGGGGCAATGATTTGTTCCAAAGAACTGAATTCTGCATAGCTAACAGTCATCACTTTAAGTGCCAGAAATTTTATTATTTGGATGATTTCCAGTAGGAAATTTTCTTATATATAATATATATATGAAATGAAATGCTATGCAATGAAAATAAACTTTTATTTGATATTAAAGATGGCAATTATAATCTTCTATAACTAAATGTGGAAAGTTCTTGGGGGCATAAAAGTCTGTCAGTCTAAAGACTGAATCACCAGGCTGAACTTTTAGCTCTTGAATCTTCTCTGTCACTGACAGCTCTCTATACTTTGCTGAGTGTTGCAGTCACCTTCTAACTTGCTGTGTGCAAAGAAACCACACAATCAAGTTGGCTGGAAGTTTAGAATAAATTACTCTAAATGGGAGTCTTTTCACTGAAGTATATTGGACAGA